AGCCGCTGCCAGGTGGAATGGCGTGAGTGCGACATCACCGCCCCACTCCTCGAGTTCTTGGGCCACAGCGTAATTACCTCCAACATACGCTAACTGCAATGGTGTCATAGTATTCATGAATCCCGGGTCCGGGATGACTAGTGGATCAGCACCGTGGATTAGTAACTCTCGAGCGATTTCAGCGTGTTCGGCCAAGAAAAGCGGAGGCACGCGGTTGGATCTAAAGGATGCTTGGGCCAGTGTATTTGGACAAGCACCGTGACTCAGTAGCCAGCGTACGGTATCAACCTGTCCGGTGGAGACAGCACAATGCAATGGGGTCATCAGCGTTGTCTGGAAGATGGATACAGCCGTATTCTCCAGACTATTACTCGGTCGCTTTACGAAGATTCGGGCAAAATACCAGAAGAGGCTTCCAGTTGAGAAGTGTACACTGTTGTACTTGTCCAATGCAGTCATGTCAAAGCCGTACTCTTCAAGCAATTCGAGTGCGCGAATATTCCCGTGGTACGCCGCCACGTGCACTGGATTTCGACGCGTTTTCGCGAAAAACTTAAACTTGATCTGAGGTGGAGCGTAAACTTTACGAGGGAAGCCATACTCACTGTCTGTGAGGCCTCTCGCTTGAGCGTAATCGAGAATTTCACGCATTTCCTGTAGGTCACCTCGGCGTGTAGCGTAGTACAGTCGAGTACGTACAACAGCCAACATTTTCTTGGGCATTACCGTCTTGACATCTCGGTTTAAGTCCAAGTTGTGCTTCCGTATATCTCCCGTCTGGTCGCTCTCAGTAAATGCGCCCAGCTGCATCTTGATGTGCTCACGGTAGCGAGCAAAGTAGTAGATGACGATAAATAATCCAACATAGCAGGCAACTCCCCCCACTGTAAACAAGTGCATCGCGTAGCTGTCACAGGCATAAATCGCCCCTGTGAACAGCACCACAGGGAAGTAGAGAACCAACCCTGCATCGTATAGCAAAGCACCAACGGCCAGCAGCTCGCATAGCTGGAAAACAAACCGGCGTCTGATCTTGGGTACGCTTGTGAAGCCACGGTCTCCCTCCTCGAGACTTAGATCACTGTTGTTCGGCTCCAGTACCTCTCGCTTGAAGGGCTCGAAGCTGCGCAGCCCTGACCCAGTCAAGAACAACATAACCGCAACCGGTAGCATGTGATAGATGAGACCAGAGAAGACGATCGTAATTCTGCATCGCTCAAAGTCTTCAGGGTTTCTGGCGCTGAAGTCCACAAGCCACTGTATGATTTTGATATTGTACATCGTCACTCCCCAGGCGAGAGCAACGCTGAGTAGAAATCCTGCAAACACGAGGCGTCTGGCGAAGAACGAGTTGTTCAGGAACCGCGGCCAGAGCCAGAATCTAGGCACGCGGGAGATTTTACCGCGCAGTTCGCGGATATTTGTGTAGTGTCGATGTCGGAATCCTAGGAACGTCGAAGGCGGAGACCGAGCCGACGAGTTCACGTGAGTCTGTGAAGCGATACTAGCGGTCGGTGACCTGCTGGCGACTAAACTGGAAGTCAGCAACGGACTTCGGAGCGTGCGTTGTGAGTCATCTTCGCGAGGAGCTCCGTGGCCGATGAGTGGCCGACGCCGTTGACTCTCCAAAGTTTGAACTTCGACGTCGGTGGAGGAGAATTCCACGACCATGAGGATGCGGTGAGCAGGTACCGGAAACGGTGACGCGCTTCAATCTCAGTTACGTCGGACGAGATGAGAACGACGTCGAGAGTGTTCAGAATGGGAACGCCTGTGTTTGCCACAATTGAACAATGATTATCCACGCTGGGAAGGCACTGGTGTTTACCCTTATTGACCATATGAATCTCTCGGCCGACTCTCGTGTAATTGTGGTACATGTACAATTTGTGGACTACAGTCCATGAATTATAATACATGTATGTACATTAGGCGCATGTTGCTTTCTTGGTTGTCATGGATCACCCGCCGATATATAAGGTGGAACCACGAGGAACCCGCCACATTAGCCACTCTGCCGTAGTAGTATGTATTTCGAAGTGCATCACACATTGGTCCTCAGATAATGGAAGATATGCACTAATTACAAACATAGTACGGAGGCTGTCTCTTTGCGGGGCTCTACAGAAGATACCAATTACAGTAGATCGCATACCTACACAATCTCTCTTTCTTATCAGAGCTACAGGACTTGTACAGTATTTGTGCGACGTGTGACCTGACCCCCCTGTGACCTGCACCAGTAGTGGACATTGTCCACTAGACAGTACCAAGTACTTTCATCTGATACGAAAGCTCAGTCGAACATGGCACTAAACTGCTTCGTTAAACCGACTACAGAAACAACTCAAATGCGTACGATATCACATTAAATCCACCAAAATTTCATAAACAACAGTGAACATTTTAAAAAATGTTATTTAAAAAAAAAAAATGCGTAGCATCCAGGAACCTCAGACAAGTACAATAAGATTAGCAGCACAAGCTTCGTTTGGTGGAGGCATCGTGCTGAGAGGGTGGAGGGGATGCAGTCGACCCATCTTTCAAGTGGTGTTCTTCAGCACTCGATACGTTGTAGCTGCACAATCTTCAAAACTTCATAAACACTCTCCGACTGTGACTAATTGTATCTGATTTCTGTATGCACAGCAGTTCAACCAGTCAATTTGGAACTGTCAGCGATCACGGTTACCCGGATTGGCATCGGGTGACATTCATTTGCTGTCACCATCAACAATAGGTGATTGCACTCCCTTCGCGAAAACGAGATACATGTACAAAAAATATATCTCGCTGACATTGCACTGGATAATGCTAGATGATTACGTTTCCCTCGGACTGGTGTGAGACCCTCACGGGGTGGATGTAGTCCTCAACCACTTCTAAATTTCATCTCCGCTCAAAATTGCCAGCCGCTTCGACACTCCCAGCATGCAGCTTGGCCACTTTGAACGACCCCATTCAAGACTGAGTGACAGTGTGATCGGCCACGTACTGCCACGTGGGCGACCAAGACACACGACAGGCGATGCAGGTCTTCGG